CCACATTGGTATCTGCTAATAGTCTCTTGCAGCACATTGGCAGCCTCTAGTAGTCTCCTGCAGCACATTGGTAGCCTCTAGTAGTCTCCTGCAGCACATTGGTAGCCTCTAGTAGTCTCCTGCAGCACATTGGTAGCCTCTAGTAGTCTCCTGCAGCACATTGGTAGCCTCTAGTAGTCTCCTGCAGCACATTGGTAGCCTCTAGTAGTCTCCTGCAGCACATTGGTAGCCTCTAGTAGTCTCCTGCAGCACATTGGTATCTGCTAATAGTCTCTTGCAGCACATTGGTAGCCTCTAGTAGTCTCTTGCAGCACATTAGTGTCTCTAGTAGTCTCCTGCAGCACATTGGTAGCCTCTAGTAGTCTCCTGCAGCACATTGGTAGCCTCTAGTAGTCTCCTGCAGCACATTGGTAGCCTCTAGTAGTCTCCTGCAGCACAGTGGTAGCCTCTAGTAGTCTCCTGCAGCACATTGGTAGCCTCTAGTAGTCTCCTGCAGCACAGTGGTAGCCTCTAGTAGTCTCCTGCAGCACATTGGTAGCCTCTAGTAGTCTCCTGCAGCACATTAGTGTCTCTAGTAGTCTCCTGCAGCACATTGGTAGCCTCTAGTAGTCTCCTGCAGCACATTGGTAGCCTCTAGTAGTCTCCTGCAGCACATTGGTTGCCTCTAGTAGTCTCCTGCAGCACATTGGTAGCCTCTAGTAGTCTCCTGCAGCACATTGGTAGCCTCTAGTAGTCTCCTGCAGCACATTGGTAGCCTCTAGTAGTCTCCTGCAGCACAGTGGTAGCCTCTAGTAGTCTCCTGCAGCACATTGGTAGCCTCTAGTAGTCTCCTGCAGCACAGTGGTAGCCTCTAGTAGTCTCCAGCAGCACAGTGGTATAGCCTCATGCAGAATCTGATACTTTTGTGAGCATGCAACCCTTCTTGCAACAGACTTCTCACAGCTGTTGTCCCGGTTCATCTACCAGTCATTCAAAGAGGGAATTACTCTTTAAGTAGATTCCTTTAAAGCAGTGGTCTCCAAACTGTGGCCCGGGGGCCGGATGTGGCCCTTTGCTTGCTTTCATATGGCCCTTGGGGCAATATTTCATCCTCAGACACCAACAATGGGGCATAATTCCATCCACTGGAAACCAGTGAAGGGGCGCAATTCCTCCCAATGACATTAACGACTGGTCACAGTGCCTCCCATTGACACCAATGATGGGGCACAATTTCTCCCAATTATACCAATGATGGGGCATGATTCTTCCCACCCAATGACATCAACAAGGGGGTTCAATCTAGTCCCGGGATGGACGTTACCTTTTTGCCTTCAAAACTACCTTAATTCTTCATGGCATAGATCCAACAAGGTGTTGGAAACGTTCCTCAGAGATTTGGGTCCATATTGACATGATAGCATCACGCAGTTGCTGCAGATTTGTTGGCTGCACATCCATGATGCGAATCTCCCTTTCCACCACATCCCCAAAGGTACTCTGTTGGATGGAGATCTGGTGACTGTGGAGGCCATTGGAAGACAGTGACCTCATTGTCATGTTCCAGAAACCAGTTGGAGATGATGTGAGCTTTGTGACATGGCGCATTATCCTGCTGGAAGGAGCCATCAGAAGATGGGGACACTGGAGTCATAAAGGGATGGACATGGTCAGCAACAATACTCAGGTAGGTTGTGGCATTTAAACGTTGCTCAGTTGGTACTAAGGGGCCTCAAGTGTGCCAAGAAAATCTCCCCCACTGCATGACACCACCACCACCAGTCTGAACCGTTGATACAAGGCAGAATGGATCCACCAAACCATGACACCACCACCAGCCTGAACCGTTGATACAAGGCAGAATGGATCCACCAAACCATGACACCACAACCAGCCTGAACCGTTGATACAAGGCAGAATGGATCCACCACACCATGCTGTTTACTCCAAATTCTGACCCTACCATCTGAATGTCGCAACTGATATCAAGAACTTTAATGGCCCCCCAGTTTTAGTCCGTAGGGTTCAATATTGAGTTGGCCCCGCCCTTTGCAGCTATAACAGCTTCAACTCTTCTGGGAAGGCCGTCCACAAGGTTTAGGAGGGTGTCTATGGGAAGGTTGGACCATTCTTCCAGAAGCACATTTGTCAGGTTAGGCACTGATGTCGGGGGAGGAGGCCTGGCTCGCAGTCTCCGCTCTAATTCATCCCAAAGGTGTTCTATGGGGTTGAGGTCAGGACTCTGTGCAGGACAGTCAAGTTCCTCCACCCCAAACTGGCTCCTCCATGTCTTTATGGACCTTGCTTTGTGCACTGGTGCGCAGTCATGTTGGAACAGGAAGGGGCCATCCCCAAACTCTTCCCACAAAGTTGGGAGCATGAAATTGTCCAAAATGTCTCGGTATGCTGACGCCTTAAGAGTTCCCTTCACTGGAACTAGGGGGCCAAGCCCAACCCCTGAAAAACACACCCCCACACCATAATCCCCCCTCCACCACACTTTACACTTGGCACAATGCAGTCAGGCAAGTACCGTTCTCCTGGCAACTGCCAAACCCAGACACATGCATCGGTTGCCAGACAGAGAAGTGTGATTGGTCACTCCAGAGAACACGTCTCCACTGCTCTAGAGTCCAGTGGCAGCGTGCTTTACACCACGGCATCCGACGCTTTGCATTGCACTTGGTGATGTACGGCTTGGATGCAGCTGCTCGGCCATGGAAACCCATTCCATGAAGCTCTCTACGCACTGTTGTTGGGCTCATCTGAAGGCCACACCAAGTTTGGAGGTCTTTAGCTATTGACTCTGCAGACAGTTGGTGACTTCTGCGCACTGTGCGCTTCAGCATGCGCTGACCCCCAGCCCTGTCATGTGACGTGGCCTACCACTTGGTGGCTGAGTTGCTGTTGTTCCCAGTTGCTTCCACTTTGTTATAATCCCACTAACAGTTGAGCGTGGAATATTTAGTAGCCAGGAAATGTCACGGATGGACTTATTGCCCAGGTGGCCACCTATCACGGGACCACGCTTGGAGTCACTGAGCTCCTGAGAGCGACCCATTCTTTCACCAATGTTTGTAGAAGCAAACAGTGGCCATGGAACACAATGATTTGGAGGGGTGTCCCAATACTTTTGGCAATGCAGCGTATATCTTTTACAAATTATATACAACCCTCTATCCTACAGGAGTGAAATCAGCTTCCTCCAAACAAGACAGAATCAAGTTTCCATGTTTTCCACCCATGTGTATGAAAGGAGCTATGTTCAGAAGAAAATTTTCTTTTTAAAAATAATTCAGTCATGCTTCAGCTGTATTTATCATGGATGTTATATACAGCCATCTATACTACGGGAGTAAGATCATCTCAAATATCCGTGAGCATCTGATTGCCAAGCAGCCCACTCATGAGTACCATATGAGCGAAGTTCGAAGATTTCCACTTACAAATCCAAGTGTTTTGTCCAGTTTGGAGAATATTTTATGTTGAAATCTACTCCCGATGAAGTCTACAAAAAGCTGTGAGTGGGGTAGGTGGGGTGGTGTCGTCAAGCAAGCTAAGCACATGCGGATACTAATGGATGGAGTACTTACCTTCGCTGTTTACTAAATGCCGGCTCCATAGAGCTTTGTAATTATTGTTGTGTTTTACAATAAAAAGGCACATTTTTGCATGCCACCGATATAATATGGAAATTAAATGTTTGAAATGAGGTAATGGGTATCAATTTGTGCTGAAATATAATCAATATCCTTTTCTATGGCCATATTCAGTAGGGGCTCTGTGAGCAGAGGACGAGGCGATGACACGCTCCTCGGGGGCGGGCTCATGATGGCATGCACTCACCGGAAGTGGGTTAATTGGGGCTCTTTAGAACCAGAAGAGGAGCAGCACTGGTTCACAGAGCGGGGGGGTCTGCAGGGGACAGTGATGGAGGTGAGAACAAATGAGCTGATTTTTATTTGTAAAATTGATGGGGCACTATTTAATTGAAAAAAAAATAAAATATGACTGGAGTTTGGCTTTAGTCATTCTCAATGGATAAATGAAAAAAATGACATAAATTCAAACTTGTACATATAAAATGGGCACAAACGCATGTAAATATGAATTTTTTTTGAAGATTTAATTAAAGAAAAAATAAAAAAAATATGACTGGAGTTTGGCTTTAGTCATTCCCAATGGATAAACAAAAAAAAAACCCAAAAATGACGTAAATTCAAACTTGTGCATATAAAATGGGCACAAACGCATGTAACTATGACTTTTATGAAGATTTAATTAAAAAATAAAAAAAATAGGACTGGAGTTTGGCTTTAGTCATTCCCAATGTATAAACAAAAAAAACCCAAAATGACATAAATTCAAACTTTTGCATATAAAAATGGGCACAATTGCATGTAACTATGACTTTTTTTTGAAGATTTAATAGAAAAAAAAAATAGGACTGGAGTTTGGCTTTAGTCACTCCCAATGGATAAACTAAAAAAAAAATGAAATAAATTCAAACTTGTGCATATGAAATGGGCATAAACGCATGTAACTATGACTTTTTTGGAAGATTTAATAAAAAAAATTAAAAAAATATGAGTGGAGTTTGGCTTTAGTCATTCACAATGAATAAAGCGCTGCGTAATTGATGGCACTATATAAGTACCTATAATAATAATAATAATAAACAAAAAAAATTACATAAATTCAAACTTGTGCATATAAAATGGGCACAAACGCATGTAACTATGACTTTTTTTGAAGATGGAGATTATACTGCCAGCTGTGTAGATAAAACCAAAGGTGTCATTAAAATATGCGTTTATTAAGAAATATTGATAGCATATATATTATGCTGGAGCAATATTGGTCCTGTATTCCACACTACAGGATGAACAGCAGCTCCATCTATACATGTACACAAAACACAACTGACCTACATGAAACACACAGTACAGACAAGACCACCTCAAAAACTTGCGCCCATCCCTCAAATGATTCTGAGTGCAGTGACATTCACCCCATGTGTTCTAGGGCAGGGGTGTCAAACTGGGGGCCCTCCAGCTGTTGCGAAACTACAAGTGCCATCACGCTTCTGCCTTTGGCAGTCATGCTTGTAACTGTCAATCTTGCAATGCCTCATGGGACTTGTAGTTTGGCAACAGCTGGAGAGCTGCCAGTTTGACACCCGTGTTCTAGGGGAACGTTTGTTTCTCAAAGGTGTTTAGTCCATTTCTAAAGCCCAGGATTTGCCACTTTCCTTCCCAGTACCCATAATAAGCCTCCTTGTTACCTTCACTTCAAGAACCGTTGTTCCATTATCTTCCTTTTGGAACATTGGTATTAACCTTTACCCATCAGGAAGGCCTTTACCCTTCAGGAAGAGCTTTACCCATCAGGAAGACCTTAACCCATCAGGAAGACCTTTACCTATCAGGAAGACCTTTACCCATCAGGAAGAGCTTTACCCATCAGGAAGACCTTAACCCATCAGGAAGACCTTTACCTATCAGGAAGACCTTTACCCTTCAGGAAGAGCTTTACCCATCAGGAAGACCTTAACCCATCAGGAAGACCTTTACCTATCAGGAAGACCTTTACCCATCAGGAAGACCTTTACCCATCAGGAAGACCTTTACCCATCAGGAAGACCATCATGCTTCTGCCTTTGGAAGTCATGCTTGTAACTGCCAATCTTGCAATGCCTCATGGGACTTGTAGATTGGCAACAGCTGTAGGGCTGCCAGTTTGACACCCGTGTTCTAGGGGAACTTTTGTTTCTCAAAGGTGTTTAGACAAATTCCAAAACCCAGGATTTACCGTTTTCCTTCCCAGTACCCATAGAAAGCCTCTTCTAGGTACCTCCACTTCAAGAACCTTTGTTCCATTATCTTCCTTCTAGGAAAATTGGTATTGACCTTTACCCATCAGGAAGACCTTTACCCATCAGGAAGACCTTTACCCATCAGGAAGACCTTTACCCATCAGGAAGATCTTTACCCATCAGGAAGACCTTTACCCATCAGGAAGACCTTTACCCATCAGGAAGACCATCATGCTTCTGCCATTGGCAGTCATGCTTGTAACTGTCATTCTTGCAATGCCTCCTGGGATTTGTTGTTTGGCAACAGCTGGAGGGCCGTCAGTTTGACACCTGTGTTCTAGGGGAACTTTTGTTTCTCAAAACTGTTTAGTCCAATGCCAAAACCCAGGATTTGCCGCTTTCCTTCCCAGTACCCATAGTAAGCCTCTTCTAGATACCTTCACTCCAAGAACCGTTGTTCCATTATCTTCCTTCTAGGAACATTGGTATTAACCTTTACTAATAAGGAAGATCCAGTTATTTGCTATTTATCTACCAGAGAACCTATAATTAACCTTAGAACTTCCAGAAAATGGCAAGAGTCAACAACTGTACGCATTCCCCAGATTATCCTGTGCAAGGTGGCACTCACCTGTGTTCTGGGGGAGCTTTGCTTCTCAATGTTTTTTTAGACTAGTTTCAAAACCCAAGATTAGGCTCTTTCTTTTCCACTGTCCTCGGTATTAGCATCTTCCAGTCGCCCTTATCTAAACATCACTGCTGTCAGGAAACTAGTAATGTTAATTCTTACGCAACGAGTGCTAATTTCTGCGCAATTAATGCTCATTCCTCTGCAGCTCATGCTCGTGCACATGCACGCGCATCAGCGATCCTGGCCTGCTTTCTGAGCACGCCGCTGTCTCATTGTGTATGAGCCTGTCTTACCTTGACTACATCCCTGACCATGGCAGTCATCAAGCTACTGGCACCCATGCTTCTTTGAGCCTTGTACCTCTGTCACCACTTTCATGGGTGCTCAGAGCCACAAGGGAAGCCCTCTACTCAATTCGGCCTCCAACCAAGGTACGTGACAACTATATTGGTCTTCTTTCTAGAAAGTCTGGTATTAGCACTTATCCTTCCTGAAGACCTTGCTATTTACTTGCTATTTACTCTCTCCATTTACTGCCCAAGGGCCCGGGGTCAGTAGGGGAACCCATAATTAACTCTCCAATTTCCGTAAAACTACAAACTACTTGTACCCACTTCACAAATTATTCTGTTCATTCGTGAAAACAAACCTTTTCTAGTCTTTGGATTCACTTACTTCCACTCATGTGTTCTAAGGGAGGAGCTTTTCTTCTCAAAGGTGTTTAGTCCAGTTCCAAAACCCGATAAAACCCCATTTGCCTTCCATTAACCTGGGCATTAACCCCTTCCCATTCAGAATCGTGGTAATTCCGACTGAATAGTAACAGAAACCTTGTATTAAACTTTCCTGCTTCTAGCAAACTTGGTATTGACTCTAAGGCCTTATGTACACATGAACTCCTCTAGATGTTCAGCTCTCCTGGCAGCAGAAAAATGCTAAACACTTGGATGTTTGTTCACTTGAATGGCCAGAGTATTTTCCATTGACATGAATAAAGGCTCAAGCGCTAAACACGGCTAGCGTTTAGACACATTTATGCACGTTTTTTGCTGTGTTTAGTATTCTTTGGCCAAGCATTCCTTTCCTGAAGTTGATTCTTCTGCATTCAGGAGAGGAACGTTTACCTGCACCTAAACTCTACTGCTCCTAAGCTCTGGTGTACATGGACACATAGGCTTTTATTGAGTTGAGTTCAGGGGCTTTGGCAAAAAAAACGCCAAAAGCTCCTAAACTCACGTTTAGGAGCAACCTTCTTGGAGACCATGATATATACTCTCCACCTACCAGAGAGTCTATATTAATTCTATCTTCTAGAAAATTACAAGAGTCAACAACCGCAACCCATCCCCTAAATTATTAGGAGAGCAGTGATATTCACCTATGTGTTCTTGGGGAGCTTTTCTCAAAGCAGTTTAGCTCAGCTCCAAAACTTGGGATTAGCCCCTTTCTCTTCCACTAACCTTGGCATTCCCCTTTTTAGTCACTCCAATATTGACAGACCTTGTATTAAGATTTCTTCCGTCTATGAACCTTAAAATTAACTCTTCCCCTTCCAAAAGATCTTAGTATTTACTCTTCACATACCAAAGAGTCTATTATTAAGTCTCCACCTTTCAGAAAACTATATAAGACAACAACCTGCACCCACTCTTCAAATTATTGTCTTCATGAATGGGCACACCTTTGCTGGTCTTTGAATGCACTTCCACTCATTTGTTCTAGGGGAGCTTTGGTTCTCAAACTTGTTTAGTCTAGTTCCAAAACCCTACCAATTCTTCTTCACTTACCCAAAAACCTATTATTGATTCTCCACTTTTCAGAAAACTACAAGAGTCAACAACCTGCACCCACTCCTCAAACTATTGTGTTCATAAATGGCCACACATCTACTGAATTTTGGATGCGCTGACTTCCACTCATGGGTTCTAGGGAAGCTTTGGCTCACAAACGTGTTTAGTCTAGTTCCAAAACCCTTCCGTTTTTTCTTCACCTACCCGAAAGCCTAATATTAATTCTCCACCTTTCAGAAACCTACAAGTCATCAACCTGCACCCACTCCTCAAGCTATTGTCTCCATATATGGGCACACATTTGCTGTTCTTTGGATGCACTTCCACTCATTTGTTCTAGGGAAGCTTTGGTTCTTAAACATGTATAGTCTAGTTCCAATACCCTTCCATTTTCTTTTCACCTACCAGAGAGCCTATTATTAATTCTCCACTTGTCAGAAAACTACAAGAGTCAACAACCTGAACCCACTCCTCAAACTATTGTGTTCATAAATGGCCAAACATCTACTGATTATTGGATGCGCTGACTTCCACTCATGGGTTCTAGGGAAGCTTTGGTTCTCAAACATGTATAGTCTAGTTCCAATACCCTTCCATTTTCTTTTCACCTACCAGAGAGCCTATTATTAATTCTCCACTTGTCAGAAACTACAAGAGTCAACAACCTGCACCCACTCCTCAAACTATTGTGTTCATAAATGGCCAAACATCTACTGATTATTGGATGCGCTGACTTCCACTCATGGGTTCTAGAGGAGCTTTGGTTCTCAAACATGTTTAGTCTAGTTCCAAAACCCTTCCATTTGTTCTTCACCTACCAGACAGTCTATTATTAATTCTCCACTTTTCAGAAAACTACAAGAGTCAACAACCTGTACCCAATCCTCAAACTATTGTATTCATAAATGGCCACACATCTACTGAATATTGGATGCGCTGACTTCCATTCATGGGTTCTAGGGGAGCTTTGATTCTCAAACATGTTTAGTCTAGTTCCAAAACCCTACCGGTTCCTCTTCACCTACCAGAAAGCCTATTATTAATTCTGCACCTTTCAGAAAACTACAACAGTCATCAACCTGCACCCACTCCTCAAGCTATTGTCTCCATATATGGGCACACATTTGCTGGTCTTTGGATGCACTTCCACTCGTGTTCTAAGGGAGCTTTGGTTCTCAAACGTGTTTAGTCTAGTTCCAAAACCCTTCCATTTTTTCTTCACCAACTAGAAATCCTACTATTAATTATCCACCTTTCAGAAAACTACAAGAGTTGACAACCTGCACCCACTCCTCAAACTATCGTGTTCATAAATGGCCACACATCTACTGATTATTGGATGCGCTGACTTCCACTCATGGGTTCTAGGGGAGCTTTGGCTCTCAAACATGTTTAGTCTACTTTCAAAACCCCCTTCCACTAACCTAGACATTTACTTTTTCTATCCAGAAACACTGGTATTAACCCCTTCCAGTCACCCTAATAGTAACAGGGACCTTGGATTAAACTTTTTTCTTCTAAGAACCCAGTTATGACCTTCTACCCTTCCCGGAGACTCTGATTTTCAATTGCACCAACCAGAGACCCTTTTATTAACTCTCTGCTTCTCAAAGACCCTGCTACTAACTCTGCACATTGTAGAGACTCGCGCATTATCCTTCCAGTTACTCAAGAGACCTTGGAAATAACAATCCATCTTCCATAGACCTTGGTATTATCTCTACACCTTGTCAAAGACCTCCTTCCATTAAGTCTATCCTTGACTGAGACCCTTGGATTAGCCCTCCCTCTGCCCGCCAACCCTGCTGATCTTTGCATGGAAAAGTTTTGTGTTTGCAAGTTGCCCCCCAGGCTGAATCAGCCGATGGGGAGGGGGGCATTTGAGACCTGTAGGATTAAAGAAGGATTTGGGAGGAATGTTAAAACTATCATTAACATACCAGACAGGTGAGCGTGAGAGGGAGGGGGGGGGGGGGGACTGAGCAAGAGAACTGGAAGAGACAGTTCAGAGCCTGATAGAGGGAATATATACAGAGGAGGACCAGGCACACGGAAAGTAGCAAGCTGTATAATTATATTATTATAATCTGGCAATTGAGAAAGGCTTTACCCCACTTTTTTTTTCCTCCTTGAAACTTTCACCAAGAATTTACACCACCCTAAACTCGGCTTAAATCATTATTTTCATAGAGGGAAGCCGGAGAAGGGATCTTCCCCGAGGAGGTATAAATGCTTTTATTGTCAGCAGTTTTTAACTGTTGCCACCTTTTTCGGCAACCTGTTTGAAGAATCGTAGCTTTTTTTTTTAACTATTTAAAATTCAACCAAATAAAACATTTATCACCCCCCCCCCCCCCATTTACACTTGAGCGCAGCATATGTAGGTGATTTTGAGGGTTTTTTTTTTGCACATTTTTATAAATGGAAGTACCAAAAAAGAAGACTTGTGGAGCCGCTGGTGAACTGACACTTTTCCCCCTCTAAGCCAGGCAAACAGCATTTCCTCCACTCTCATTGGCTCAAATGGAACAGTCTAGGGGTGTCTTTTTTAGGGTTTTATTGTGACGTTG